CACTTTAGACACCACTACAATGTGTTTAAAGATACTAAAAATTTAGTGGGAAAGTTAGCTAGTTTGAATACTGGAGATGAAAAAAATGTAAAAAGGTGAGAAGAAAAGCTAAGAAACGGTACGAACAAGACTGACACAATTTTAACTTTCTTTTTATTTTTTTTTCCCAAAAATCCAAAAACGAGTGCCAAGACCTTTTTCAAGAAGCACGCAGAGCGTCTGCCAAACAAAGAGACGTTTGGAAGAACTTAAAACATTTTTTGAAATACTTGCTGGAAGAAAACGCGTAAAAAGCGCACGTTTGTGTTAGTTACCACGTACGCAGCGGTATTCAGTACTAGAATAAGTGCATGAAACATACAGGAACGATAACATCGCAAACATCGAGTAGTGAACGAGGACATATATAAATATATATATATACATATACATATATATATGTGTGTATATGTCCTCGTCCACGATTTGATGTTCACATATTTTTCCAACACATATTTTAAAAGCCATACTTTGAAATATGCCATAAGTGAGCCACACTTCAACTTATAAACTGGCGTGTCGAATAGATCTTTTGCAAGATATTTGCTACAAGTCTCGAGAGAATCGTAATCGGAAATGAAATATGGCAAGAAGGGTTCGACCTCTTTCGGATCACAATCACCAATAAAACCTTCTGTTGCTACTGAAACAACAAAAAATATTGTTCAGTGCTCCGTACAATAGCTGGTGAAAGAATCAGTGTAACATGTTTCTGCAACTCAAAGAGGATAGGTAAAAGCGGGTGTGAGGGAAGGGAGAGGGAAATGAGAGAGAGCCTCATGCTTGATATTCTCGAGGCTACATGCATTAGCGAACTCCGGCTCAAGAATAAGCAGTTTTCTATTTTTCCATCATTTTGGGTAAAAGCAATCTGCTGCCATTTTGGAATTAAATTTTTCCCTACGATTACCAGTAGTTCGCATTGCTTCAGCTTATCTAACGCGAAGTAGCCTTAGTTTTTTTAGAACGCAACATTTCTAGGTCGATGCCACAGCTGCACTACTGCGAGAGATTCGGGACACACAGTGAAAAAAGCCAAGACAGCCAAATTAATAAAACCGCCGTAACAAAAGGCTGAGCTAAGCAATGTTCATGGCATCTTTTTACTGGGATACAATCACACATCCAGAGCAGCTATGCCAAACCATTTAATCTACAACTACCCGCCTTTAGCTAGCACCTCCACCAACGCTACATAATGTGCCAACTCTTCGGAAGTTGCTCAAGCAGTTTCCCTTCTTGCGAGTATCACTCTGTAACAGAGAAGAACTACGATATCACTCTGTAACACAGAAGCAAAACGAACAACAAACTAATTCCTCCGACAGGAGCAACCATATCCTGTGCTTCGTTTATCTGAAGCAGTGCCCAGCTGCTTTTACGGTCAGCAGAAAAAAGGCCCTAGTACTTCTCGCCGGTTCGTCCCTTTCGTCACAGCGTCAATGATCCCGTCTCATATCCGCTTATAGCTGCTTCCAGTACAGCAGCATACGAGTACGGTCCTTTCATCGCGACAGTAGAACGGAAAGGTGAAAGCTAAAATGTGCACTTACGGGTAATGGCCAAGAGTCTTGCAATTTGAGCATCATCAACGAGATTTTCCTGCAAAACGCAGACGAACCTCAATGCACAATTCGGCAAATGTGTCAGATTCAGGTTTCCCTAAAAAAATCAGTTAAAAAATTTCAGCGAAAATTTCTTCTTGCACTAATTCAGTAGTGAGAATTATGCAATATTTAAGAGACTTTAGGACGTATGCAAAGGCTCTACACATTCGATAAAAGCGGTTCCTTACTCGATCGTAGTCGCATGCATCCGTGAAAATCACCAGCAAGCTGTTGCGATCGCAATCTCTATCGAACTTCATTAACGAAAACAGTGAGATCAAGTCAACAGAAGAGCAAAGCTCTACACTGAAAAAAAAAAATATCGTTTCTACGAAGACCACTGATTTCTTCACAGCGACCGCTCATGCGAAAATAATGTCTCAAAAAGCAATCATATGCGCTACAGACTGCTGCCCAATTCATCGCGCTTTTTATTAGGACTTTCTGTGGTCTCATTAAAGGCCAATTCAAATACGCACGTATATCTTTAAAAAAACCATTCGAACCGTTAGACGGTACTTTTTTTTATTAAAAATTTTTTCGTCTCCGCAAGACTGTCGTGTTGTAAAGTCGC